CACCCCAGCACGAACCCACCCCAGCACGACCCCACCCCAGCACGACCATACCCCAGCACGACCACACCCCAGCACGACCCGACCCCAGCACGACCCTACCCCAGCAAGACCACACCCCAGCACGACCACACCCCAGCACGACCTCACCACAGCACGACCACACCCCAGCCGACCACGCCCCAGCACGACCACGCCCCAGCACGACCACGCCCCAGCACGAACCACCCCCCAGCACGACCACCCCCCCAGCACGACCACACCCCCAGCACGACCACCCCCCAGCACGACCACTCCCCAGCACGACCACACCGCCTTGGTTGAGTGGTTGCCTGTCGTCGTGGAATGTTTCGTGGGGTGTCTCGTGGAATGTTTCGCGGGGTGTCTCCTGGAATGTTTCGTGAGGTGTCTCGCGGAATGTTTCGTGAGGTGTCTCGTGGGATGTTTCGTGAGGTGTCTCGTGGGATGTTTCGTGAGGTGTTGCCCCGTTGGGTATCGTGAAAACGTGCCCATGCTCCACATGTCTATATCCCTTTCCGGGTTCGTGGGTCCATCATGTTGTTATGTTGAAATGCTTGCAAACACACTGTGTTCGGTAGGATTCTGACATGAACGCGCGCGTGTGTTCTTTGTGGTATTTTCCCGGAAAGGGCGTGGGCCCAGGGTTCTCTTTTAGTAGGTAAACCTGTCCCCCGGTGCCAACTTGAGGGAGGCCGGCGAATTTTTTCCCTGATAAATAACGAGGTCGAAGGAGGCCGGCGAATTAAAATTTGAGGATGTCTCGAGCGAAACGCTTGTTTTTGAAATCCCGATCGATAAATCACAGGGTGCGGGCCACTTTTTCGTGTGTTGAGGATGTCTCGAGCGAAACGCTTGCTCCGCAGAGTTTGCCGAGGATGTCTCGAGCGAAACGCTTGTTTTGCAGAGCCGACCGCGACGCGGAAAAGCGCCCCGCGCGAAGGATTTTCGATGATGTCTCGACTAATTTGTTTGTTTTTGTACGATTTCCTGGAATTTTGGCAGGATGTCTCGAGCGAAATGCACGACCCCACCCTAGCACGACCATACCCCAGCACGACCACACCCCAGCACGACCAGACCCCAGCACGACCCCACCCCAGCACGACCCCACCCCAGCACGACCATACCCCAGCACGACCACACCCCAGCACGACCCGACCCCAGCACGACCCTACCCCAGCAAGACCACACCCCAGCACGACCACACCCCAGCACGACCTCACCACAGCACGACCACACAGCACCACGCCCCAGCACGACCACGCCCCAGCACGACCACGCCCCAGCACGACCACCCCCCAGCACGACCACCCCCCCAGCACGACCACCCCCCAGCACGACCACCCCCCAGCACGACCACACCCCAGCACGACCACTCCCCAGCACGACCACACCCCAGCACGACCACACCCCAGCACGACCACACCCAGTCGCACCCCCGTGGAATGTTTCGTGGCGTGTCTGGTTGAGTGGTTGCCTGTTCGTGGGGTGTCTCGTGGAATGTTTCAAAGGGTGTCTCGTGGAATGTTTCGTGAGGTGTCTCGTGGAATGTTTCGTGAGGTGTCTCGTGGGATGTTTCGCGGGGTGGCACGACCACGCCCCAGCACGACCACCCCCCCAGCACGACCACCCCCCAGCACGACCACCCCCCCAGCACGACCACCCCCCAGCACGACCACACCCCAGCACGACCACAACCCAGCACGACCACTCCCCAGCACGACCACACCCCAGCACGACCACACCCCAGCACGACCACACCCAGTCGCACCCCCGTGGAATGTTTCGTGGCGTGTCTGGTTGAGTGGTTGCCTGTTCGTGGGGTCTCGTGGAATTTTCAAAGGGTGTCTCGTGGAATGTTTCGTCTCGTGGAATGTTTCGTGAGGTGTCTCGTGGGATGTTTCGCGGGGTGTCTCGTGGGATGTTTCGTGAGATGTCGCCCAGTTGGGTATCGTGAAAACGTGACCATGCTGCACATGTCTTTATCCCTCTCCGGGTTCGTGGGTCCATCATGTTTTTGCAATGGATTATCGCCGTGGACGACAGGACGTCCATGTCGAGAGGAAAAAATAAGAAAAATGTTGATTTTATATTGTTTTTTACAGGTTCGGATGGGACCCCCCGGATGCGGCCCCTAATGGCCGGCCTGAGGGGGGAGTAGGAGTATATTATAATAAGGAATAAGGATAGGAGTAGGAGTAGGAGTAGGAATCAAGCTAGCCAGCTCGAGCGAATCAAGCATGGCATGCCCAGTCCCACCCGCCCTCCCACAACATAAGAAGCAAAGCTGGCACAACTGGGGGCCGAAGTCACACCGGCCAGCCGGTTTGGTACAGCTGATGCGGCCGCGATGGCGGTTGCCGACGGGAACTGGCGAGCGCGTGTTGAATGCCGCGCACGCATTGCCAGACGAGTCGAGAATGGCCCGGTACACCGCAGGCGTTGGTGCGCGGCGCCGAGGCGAGATCGACATGTCACCCCTTCGCGCGGGGTGTGCGCCGCGTCCCATTCCTGCCACGCATTTTGCGACGTGACGACAGCACGACCATGTTGACAAGAAAAACAAAAACTGTGTATTGTCTTTTGCAGATTAGAATGGGACGGATTGGATGGGCGGGCGCGGGGTGTGCGCCGCGTCCCATTCCTGCCATGCATTTTGCGACGTGGACGACAGGACGTCCATGCGACGGTGCCAATGACGGCGACGACTCTAAAAGGATTTGAGCATGCGCTCGCGGCGACGCGCGCGCATGTCGCCCGCGTGGTATTTTTCCTGGAAAGGGCGCGGGCCCAGGGTTCTCTTTTCCTATGTAAACATGTCCCCGGTGCCCAACTTGAAGGAGGCCGGCGGATTCTTTCCCTGATAAATATCGAGGTCGAAGGAGGCCGGCGGATTAAAATTTGAGGATGTCTCAGGCGAAACGCTTGTTTTTGAAATCCCGATCGATAAATCACAGGGTGCGGGACACCTCAGCACGACCACACCCCCAGCATGACCACACCCCAGCACGACCACGCCCAGCACGACCACGCCCCAGCACGACCACACCCCAGCACGACCACACCCCAGCACGACCACACCCCAGCACGACCACACCCCATCGATAAATCACAGGGTGCGGACCACCCCAGCACGACCACACCCCAGCACGACCCCACCCCAGCACGACCCCACCCCAGCACGACCACGCCCCAGCACGACCACACCCCAGCACGACCACACCCCAGCACGACCACACCCCAGCACGACTAGCACGCACGACCACCCCAGCACGACCACGATCACACCCCAGCACGACCCCCACCCCAGCACCACACCCCAGCACGACCACACCCCAGCACGACCACCACAGCACGACCACACCCCAGCACGACCACGCCCCAGCACGACCACGCCCCAGCACGACCACGCACGCACGACACGCCCCAGCACGACCACGCCCCAGCACGACCACGCCCCAGCACGACCACCCCCCAGCACGACCACCCCCCCAGCACGACCACCCCCCAGCACGACCACCCCCCAGCACGACCACACCCCAGCACGACCACTCCCCAGCACGACCACACCGCCTTGGTTGAGTGGTTGCCTGTCGTCGTGGAATGTTTCGTGGGGTGTCTCGTGGAATGTTTCGCGGGGTGTCTCGTGGAATGTTTCGTGAGGTGTCTCGTGGAATGTTTCGTGAGGTGTCCCGTGGGATGTTTCGTGAAGTGTCTCGTGGGATGTTTCGTGAGGTGTTGCCCAGTTGGGTATCGTGAAAACGTGTCCATGCTCCACATGTCTATATCCCTTTCCGGGTTCGTGGGTCCATCATGTTTGCACAGGATTCGCGGCCTGGGTGCATGACAGAGCATCGCGAGTGCACCGCGCGATGACGTGAAATCGCTGGATTCGACCGAATTCTTAAGATTCCCATGGTTTTCCTATGATTTCAGCAAGAGAGCCCGGGCAGGACATTTGTAGATTTTTTGTGAAAAAAAAACATTGGGTTTTTGATGTTTTTATGTTGAAATGCTTGCAAACACACGGTGTTCGGTAGGATTCTGACATGAACGCGCGCGTGTGCTCTTTGTGGTATTTTTTGCAATGGATTATCGCCGTGGACGACAGGACGTCCATGTCGAGAGGAAAAAATAAGAAAAATGTTGATTTTGTATTGTTTTTTACAGGTTAGGATGGGACCACCCGGATGCGGCCCCTATCTGCCGGCCTGAGGGGGGAGTAGGAGTATATTCTAATAAGGAATAAGGATAGGAGTAGGAGTAGGAGGAGGAGGGAGGAGGGAGGAGGAGGAGGAGGAGGAGGAGGAGGAGGAGGAGGAGGAGGAGGAGGAGGAGGGGGAGAGGAGGGGGGGGGGGGCCCTCCCCTCCCCGCCTGCGCGGCCAAGTGCCCAGAGGCAGCGGCCACCCGCGCCAGCGCCGGGCTCGGCATCCGCGCCCGGGGCTCGCGGGGACGGGTCGAGGCTTAAGCCGGGCCTGTCCCCCCCACAGGGGGAGTTTCGACGAGAAATAAAACATATCCCAGACATAATCAAAACATAATCCAACAAAATATGGGGATTGTTTTTTTGAGCTTTTTTTCAACATTTTGGAATATTTGTTGGTATTTTTCATTTTTCGTCCAAAATCCCCCTGTAGGGGGACACGCCCGACTTAAGTCAAGGCGCCCGCGCAGTGCTTGAGCCTCGGCCTGGCGCAGAGCAAACTGCGAGGGCAGGCGAGCCGAGGAGGCGCTGCGCGAGGTCTCTCGTGGTCCGGGCGGGGGTCTCGCGATCCTGCAGTGACGGGTGGAGCAGACAGGCCACTCCGCAATCCCTCCGCGAGGGGTAGGTCCAGGACCGCCAGGCTGAATTGTGCCTCGCGGCTCGCGCCATGCCAGACGTGAGCGCATCTTGCATCATTCCCCGTGAAACGTGGCAACCCCGCTTAGCCCAGGAGGGGTCCCGGGCTCCCGGGCGCTGGGGGAAATGACGTCGAGTGGGAATACTTCCTGCCAGCGGGCGAAGCAGCGAGCTCTGCACGTGCTGAGAGAGCGGGGCACGGTTCCCAGACTGCCGCCTTCGCAAGAGAAGATCGAAGGTCAGGAACTCCGCAGGTAGAGCTGGCAAGCCAAGGAAGCCCAGAGTCCAGAGGGAGATCTCTAAGTACAGCGCTGGAGGCAGCTCCGGGCCGAAGACAGATGCCATCAATTGCGTGCTTTCAAAGGACGAGAGCTCCCGGTCTCGTGAGACGGCCATTGTTGTCAGAGCGCTCCAGCGGTGAAGGCTTTGAGTATGCCAACCGACGACGGGTACCCATATCATGTCAAGCCGATGACGGCGACGATGACGACGGAGCGTGTGCAACGCAATTGGCCATGCTCGTATTGCATGGTATGGACAGAACCACCGTTCGAAAAAAAACTCGGCCAACCAGCCAGCTCCGCCCCTCCACCGCCAACCCTCACGAATAATTCCTCCGGCCAGCCCCTTCGGCCAACCCTGGTAATGGCAAGTCCCCCCAACAGATGCACAATACTGCAAGTGCTTCTCCACCGAAGCTCGCCGCCTGCGCCCCAACGCGCCTCCACAATCCCGGGCCTCTCCACACCACGGCCCACCCTGACTCCGGATCCGCCCTACTTCGGCTTTTTTTTACAGCTTAGAATTGCGTCGGAAATCCACCTATAAGAGGCCGAAAAAGTAGGGCGGAAATTTCTGCACCCAACATAAAATAGAGCGGAAATCCACAGAAACAGCAACATAAAAGTAGGGCGGAAATTGGCATCAGCGGGGCTTGAAAGTAAGGCGGGAATTCCAAGCCCAAATTACGAACTTACCCAAAGTAGGGCGGATCCGGAGTCAGGGCACGTACACGATGTTCTTCTCCCTGCGCCTCCCGCTCTCGAACGCTGAGCTCGAGGCCGGCTCGTGACCCCCGCCGCGCCTTTAACGCGGCGGCGGCGGTGGCCGACCGCGGGCCCGCGTCGCGCGGGACTCGCGCGCCGCGCGCCTGGCGCCCGCGCCGCCAGCGGCGAACGCGCCCGCCCTACTCGGGCAGGGCACGGCGGGCCACGAATGAGGGGCCACGACAGAGGGGACTGGCTCGGGGGAGGGGAGCGTTGCCCATCGGCCTGGAATCGGCGGCGCACCTCGTCGAGATGTCGGCGATAGGCCTCCGATGGCGGATCCGCGCGCTCCCGGGCGGGGTGGGGCCATCAGACCTCCAACGGCGATCGATGGGCGATTTGAGCTCCATGCGCTCCCCCCTGGTCGCCCACCGCTCGGACGCCCATTGCCCGTGCATTTGTTTGATTCGGCGCGCTTATTGCTCCGTCAGATGATCCGATCTGTTCCTCGATGGCCCTCGCCGACGAAAATGCACACGTCCGAGCGATGCCAAGCCCGAGCCCGTCCTCCCCCCCACGCCGCCCCCGAACGGGGAGGGGCTCTGTGCCCGACAGGCCCGGCGGCAGAGCGGGGAGGGGCAGGAGCAGATCGCCGCCGCGCGCGCGACGGGCCTATGTGAGGGGAGCAAAAAAGGGTTGCACGAGCACAAAAACTCGGAGGTCCGCGCGGATTTCTCGGATCCGCGCTGGACCCCCCTCCCTGGCGCGCGGAGCGCGCCAGGGGCGGCGCCGGAGGCGCCGCCAGGGGGCCCCAGCGCCGATCCGAGAAATCCGCGCGGACCTCAGAGTTTTTGTGTTCATGCCACTTTTTTTGTTCCCCTACATGTGGCGGGAGGGGGGCGCCGCACGCCGCGGCGCTCCTCTGGGCATTAGGAAAAGCATGCGTGCGCGCGGGCGCGCTTGGGATGAGGGTCCCTCCTCGCCGCGCCCTGCGGTGGCAGCTCGTGGGAGCCTCCCATGCCGTCTTGCTGGCGCTCGCGAATCGACGCCAGTCGACGCCAAGTCGACGCTACTCGACGCCACCCCATCGACTACGCACCCGACGATAATCGACGCTAACGCGCTCGAAAGACGGAATCGCGAGGGTATACAAAGCTCCCATGATCTGCTACCGCAGCGCCCCGTGATCGGGAGCCCCGCGAACGGGCGCTGTCGCCCACGCACGAGAGCCTACCCGTAAAAAATTCACAGCCGCAGCGTGGCCATCACGGCGTCGTGGTCGCTGCCGCCGCCGCCTATGCCCTGGGCCGACAGCACGGCCGACGCGTCCAGGTTCGTGAAGATGTGGTCGATGTGGCCCTCCTTGTCGCCCGAGATTACCTTGTGGTACTTGTTGCTCAGCGCCTTTGAAGGAGAACTGGGACACACAAATAAATAGACGCAAATAACCAGATCGCCAATATTTTCCCATATTTTCCGTGTTTCTGTCTTCCCCCCCACTTCTCATATTTTCAAAATTTTCTGGGGGATCGAAGATTAATTGTGTCTGTGTGCTTTTTCCCCTCCTGAGCCTTCACCGTCGCCGAGTCTGGGCCAGCGTTGAAGTCGCCCAGGATGACTATGGCGTCCCCTGGCTGCGACACGGAGGCCGCCTTCGCTGCGATGTTGTAGGCGGTGGCCTGGCCCCCGCAGACGCCGCCAGAGCTAATCGGCAGCGGGCCGTGGTGGTTCATGAAGACCAGGCCCTTACCGGTCTCCAGGTGGCGCAGGCGCAGAAACTGCACGTCGCGCTTGCGCCAGTAGGAGCTCGGGGCGTCCTCTGCCACGCTGTCCTGACCGCGGGACTCCAAGGACCAGCTCGCCGTCTTGTAGGCCATGCAGATCTCCTGCTCGCCGTCGAAGACCGTGTACTCGTCCGCCATGCCCGCCTTTTCCATGACGTACTGCAGGTCCATGCACTCCTGGAAGGCCATGGCATCAAAGACTGGCCCGTGCTCCTTCAGCAGCTTGGTGGCGCCGTTGCCCTCCTGGTGCTCCTTGTAGCAGTGCAGCTCGCCCGTGCACACCTTGTCGAAGAGGTTCCACCAGAAGAGGTTGTACGTCAGCACGCGCACCTCTGCCTGCGCGCCCCCCGTCGCGGGGGCGGGGGGCTCCGGCAGCTCGCCAGCCTGGCAATTGAACAGGTTCTGTGTGTGCACGGCCTGGTAGTTGAACGCGTACGGCGTGGTGCCAAGCTTCGGCGGCTCCGGCCTCCCCGGCATTACCCCAGAGGCCAGCCCAGCCCTGTTTCCCTGGCCGACGCGCTGGCCGCTCTTCAGCCAGCACTCGGGCACGCCCTCCTTGAGGCTGCCCCGCTCGACCCACGTCCACGACAGGCACAGCGGCGCGCCGCTGCAGCGGTCGCAGCACGCCTGCAGGTCGGGTATCGCCCGCACGCGGATGCCGTGCTCGTAGCTGTAGAACACGCCCTTCGCTGCGTCGCCGCACTGCGCGGGGAAGGCGTCCGGCAGATGATCGTCCGCCTCTTCCCCCGCCCCCCCCGCTGGAGCGGCGGGCAGGCTCGGCACTTCGCCGAGCCCCTGGTCCGTGACAGCTGCCTCGGCAGCCTCTGGCGCCGCCGGGCCCCCCTGCGCTGGAGAACCCAACGCGCGTCGACACCGCCGCTCCCCGCACCTCTCCCGAGGTGCGCTCGGACCAGAACTTCGAGGCGAACCCAGCGGTGGCGACGAGGGCCTCCCAGCAGGCCCAGGAAGGCGAACACGAGGCAAGGGCAGCTGCGTCGGTACCTCTTCCTCCTCTGACCCACCTCCTCGAGCGCGTCGGCATCCTGCACGGCCGCCGCGCCCGCCTCCGCAAAGCCCGCCTGCTGGGCCGCCGCCGCCGCGACCCCCTGCGCTGCCGCCGCCGCCTCTGCCGCGGCGCCCGTGGCGACCGGCAGCGCGCCGTCGGCCGCGGCGGCCTCGCCGCCGCGCGCGAGCCAGGGCAGCTGCAGGCGCGGCAGCGACAGGTGCGGCAGCCCCACCAGGCCCACGCCCTCCTCCAGGCCGGCCGCGGCGCCCTCCGCCGTGCCCGGCGGCGGCCGGCGGCCCCCGCCGGCGCGGAGGCGCGCGGCGAGCAGCAGGGCGCCCGCGAGGCCGAGCCCGGCAGCGGCCGCGGCCCGCAGCCGCGGGCGGCGGCGCCGCGGCGGCGGGCAGCTCGCGCTCGCCCCTCGCGCGCGCGCGGCGTCCGCCGCCGGCGCCGCCTGCAGGAGGCGGCAGGTCTCGGCGGGCTCGTCCGCCCCGGGGCCGTCGGCGCACGCCCACGCGCTAGGCGCCGCCGCCTCCATGTGGCGGAGGGGCAGGCGCGCGCGCGCCCCGAGGACGGGCCTTGGGCCGACGGGGCTCGTCCCGCGCAGGCTCCACCCCGAACGTGTTGGCAGCCCTCGGGGCCGCATCCGCTGGCCGGCCTCCGCCGAGATGTTGAAAGAGCTTCGGGGCCGACCTGTTCCCCTGCGCCCCGGCCTCCGCTGGCCTGCTGCCGGCTGAGCCGCCCCCGTTCCACTTCCGCCGCCTTCCGCCGGCTCGCCGCCTTCCCTCGAAGGCGAGGCCCTCGTCTGGAACGCCCCAGATGGGGGCGACGCAATATGACATAGCGACCTTACGCGGTGGCCTACGCGGGTACACCCCTCACACGTTTCCTGCCCCCAAGGAGGCTCCATTTTTGGCCCCAGTGGGTGCGTTCGCATGGCGTCCCCGCGCCCATTTCGGCATACCCATCACACGTTTCCTGCCCCTAAGGGAGCTCCGCTTATGGCCCCAGCGGTTGCGTTCGTTGCCCATCCCGCGCCCATTTCGGTACACCGCTCACACGGTTCCTGGGAGCTCCACCTTTGGCCCAAGTGGGTGCGTTCACAAGGCGTCCCCGCGCATATTTCGGTACACCCCTCACACGTTTCGTGCCCCCCAGGGAACTCCACCTATGGCCCCAGTGGGTGCGTTCGCGTGGCGTCCCCGCGCCCCTTGCGGCACTCCCCTCACACGTTTCCTGCCACCCCGGGGGCTCCACCGATGGCCCCAATAGATGCGTTCGCGTGGCGTCCCCGCGCCCATTTCGGCGAACGTGTCCTGCCCCTCAGGGAGCTCTGCAGATGGCCCCACTGGGTGCGTTCGCATGGCGTCCCCGCGCGAGTTTCGGCACACCCCTCACACGTTTAGCGCCACTGAGAGAACTCCACCTATGGCCCCAGGTGGGCGCGTCCGCAAGGCGCCCACGCGCTCCTGCCTATAGCCGCCTCGATCTCAGAAAGGGTAGGGCTCTTCGCCAGGCCAATACCCTACGATTGCACGTGGGGGCAACAGACTCTGCAGACGCCCTGGGACAGGCGTCCCCGAAGAGGGAGCATTCTTCGTCCGATAGTTCAAGAGAAGCGTGTTCGAGCCAACTTGGATGCTGTGAAAGATGCATCGATCTGGAAGCCAAGGAAGTCTCAGTCCACCCTGCTGGAGGGAAAACATGAACCCTCGTGGCGTGGGCCGTGCTGCCGCGCCCCATTATGTCCTCAAGCACTGCGTTGAACTGATGACGGCGCTCGCTTCATTGCAGGATGCTTTAAGACAAGCGTCGGGTCTGACCGCGGTCACGTATCGCCGCACCTCCCCGGGGTTGTTGCCGTCTGGTACATGTCCGAGGCACCTCGCTGCAAGGCGCGACGCTCGCCCTGCACTGCTCCGCACAAGCACACACGCCGACCTCGTCTGAACATACCCCCCGCCCTCGCTACTCCAGGCGACCCATCCCGGATCTGCACTGTGTGCAAATGGAGGCATCCCAAACGGGGTTCGAGCAGGTGGGCGCCGAGGATCGCGCCGTATCGCCGATGCCTCGCCGATGCATCGGCGATGCACTGGCGACGTCGGCGTGGATAAAGCCTGGCTCCACATCGAGCCGCATCGCCGATGCATCGACGATGCGGTGCGATCCTCCGACCCCCTCTGGTAAGCCTAGAGCCAATCTGTCCTGTGGGCCACCCAACTGACCTCGTTCGGATCTCGTTGGATCTGGTCGACATCTGGACGACATCTTACGAACTCTGGACGAACTCTGGGCGAAACCTGAATTAAATCTGCACGCAACCCGGTCGAAACCACGTTTACGATAGGGCCGGTCGACACCACGTTTATGATAGGGCCGCGGAAGTCCTCAGAGGCTCCCAGGAAGGCTCACCCGGCTGCGGCGGCGACGAAGGCGCGCCGCTCCAGGAGGAGGCCTGGCCGAGTACCCGGAGCGGTGCGTGCCGCAGCCGCTGGGCATCAGGGCCGACGACGTCATCACTGGGAACCGTCCAAACTGAATACTGGTCATCGCTTGGACGTCCATTCCCTGTGTTTTTTTCGGTTTCGTGCGTGGTTTTTTCGCCCAATGATCAAGGATGCTCCTCGATGGCACTCGCCGAAGGAAAAATGCACATGTCCGAGCGATGCCAAGGAATATGTGCACTGTGCCAGTGTGCCCTGTGGGGGCGCCACCGCGCCTCGGCGCCTTGCCCCCCTTCGGCACGCCCGCGATGGAACTCACGTTCCGAGCAGCTCCCCCCCCTCTTCTGCCTCTCCCGCGTCCCCCTCTGCGTTCTGTGCCCCACTTCGCTCCCGGCGTCCCAGCCAGCGCCTGCATCAGCCTCCACTCGCTGGCGCCCGCTGGCTTCAGAGACGTGCCGCCGTGCCCGGTGGGTCGCCAAGCTTCGCGCCTCGCGCGGCGCTCGGCGCTCGGTCATGCCCGCGGCCTCGCATCCCCCTCCTTCGGGCGGGTGGTGGGGGGGGGGGTCGACGAGCGCGCTCCATCCCTCGCAAAGTGACTACTCGCAACTGGGCTGGGTCCGCCGCGAGAGATCTGCGATACATCACATCCAAGCAGACAGGTGTTCTTGTCGGACGTTTGCGAGCAGGCACTCTGCGAGCAGTGGAGAACGCGCTCGGCGAGGGGGGGGGGACCTGCCCGGGGGGGGAAGAAAAGGGCCCTGAGGATATCCTGCAGGGCCCCTTTAGGGCCCCCTCTGGCTCCCAAATGGGCCCTACAGGGCCCCGTTCAGGCCCTCAGCTATCGGCGGCGAGCGAGGGGGGGGAGTGAAGGAGAAGGCCTTCTGAAAAATGTCCTGTGCCTTCGGGGAAGGCTCAGAAAACCTCTCGGACGGCCGGGGGGCTTCTGAGCCTTCCGAGAGGGCCTTCTCCTCCTCCCTTCGGCGGTGGACAAACATCCCTTTCGTAAACCTCCCCTCAGTGAAAACGGCCTGGGACCGAAACCGACGGACCTGGACCCGCAAAAATGACGGCCGCGACGCCCTCTCGCGAACCGAATACGGTCAATTCCTTAATCGACGTGTCAGGGTAGGAGGTCTATCCAGCTCCGATACCTTCCCCCCTGGGCTCGCCGCCCAGTGCAGGGGCCCTCTAAAGGGCCCTTCGAGGCTCCTCTTGGGCACTGCGCTTCGCACCCCCTCGAAACCACGCGAGGGCCCCGTGTGTGTGGGCCCCTGCTGGCTCCCAAAGGAGCCCCTTCAGGGCCCCCTCCTCCTCCTCCTCCTCCTCCTCCTCCTCTTCCTCCTCCTCCTCCTCCTCCTCCTCCTCCTCTCTCCTCCTCCTCCTCCTCTCCTCCTCTCCTCCTCCTCCTCTTTCCCTCCTCCTTCTCATTCTCCTCCTCCTTTCTCTCCTCCTCCTCTCCTCCTCCTCTCCTCCTCCTCCCGTTCCTCCTCCTCCTCCTCCTCCTCCTCCTCCTCCTCCTCCTCCTCCTGAGCTTCGGAGGCCCAGCACGGGTGCCAGGAGCAGCTGAGCAGCACTCGCGCGCAACATACAGTCGGGCCTCTGAAACAAGGAACGCTAAATAACGAACGCAAGCCCTTTCTGGCCCCAGAAAAGCCGTGGTGCACGAGGAGGTCTAGAGGAGCAGCCATGGAAGGATCTAAGGAACATCGAGCCCCTTCCGAACCCAAACTGTTCCTCATCTCAGCGTCTTGACTGTATCGTTCGAGCTCCTCCCCCCCCTCCCCCCGAATGCGCCGAGCCGCGGGGTGCCGAGCGCGGCTACTATGCCGCCGCGCCCGTGCAGAGAGCCCAGGCCCAGTCAGCAGCGAAGGGAGCCCTGACCCTTTGGGCGCGGACCTATAGGGCGCGAGGCCAAACATGGCTGAGGGAAACAAAGAAGCCCCACTCCCACTCCCCTGCAATTCAAAGTTGGCACGGCTACGCATCACCGCCTGGACACTCAAGCTCGGAAGATGCGAAGCCAGCACTGCGTTCGGGGGGAGGGGGGGGAGTTGTCAACCATAATTATGTTGCGCGTGAGTGTTGCGTACTGGCCTCCGACACCTGCACCGTTGGGATGGGGATCTTTTCATTCAGCAGATGTACCAAACCAGAACACCCAGACAGACTACGTATCCCTGATGCAGGGACGGGGACAGATGTTAGGCTACGCCTTCGTTGTGTTGTTCAGGTGCGGGGTCCCTTTTGATTCCGATGAAGCGCGTGATCGTGTGCTGCCCTGTCCCTGCTCGACCTCTCCAGCCTGACTCCCCCCGATCGGGCCAGACCGCGGGGTGCTCCCAGCCCTCGCTGCCGCACTGAGACGAAGGCAGGAGGAAGAGAACTTCGGATCGAGTTAGTCATATGCTACGGCAGGTTCGCGTCGTGTCGACCCCGGCGTTGGTTTCTGACACCGCGGGGATCGTTCAACCTTGAACGATCGGCCGTTTCCGAAACGTCCAAATCGTTCCACATCGAACGATTCTGGGTCGCCCGCGGCGTTCAAGGTTGGACGCCGCTGGCGGGGTCGCCGCCGGTCGACACGACACTAACCTACCGTACATGGGTGATCTCTCGGGGAGCTGGCGGGTCTGGAAGGCGTGTCGGGCGCAACGGCCGTATCCGAGCGATCCGGAAGGCTTTGGGAGAGCGAGAGCGTTCCAGAACGCTCTGAAGCGATTCATCTTCATCCCAGGCCTGCCTGACCCACGCCAGTCTCCCTAGCCTGCCCCTCCCCCGCCCACGGCACTCCACGTGGCTGGCGACAAACTTCTGCTCCACGTTCGAGAGCCTGAGGTCCTCAGGGAAGCCGCCATGCACTGGAGAGACTCGTCTGCGCAGAGCAAATCAAGGAGAGAACTTCGAACCGTGCTCGGACGCGCTCTGGGGAGGCAGCCGTGAAGACATGCAAATCTGGCCCCGAGCAATCGAACCCACACCTGGCTGCACGCCCGTGGGCAGTTCCCACGCGGATCGTGCAGAACGCGGCTCGATACAAGAAGCTCGATCCGCCACCCTGTAGCCAACAAACTTCACAAACGTCTGGCCGCACTAGGGCTCCTCGGCAGAGCTCCCCCGAGCAAGTTGCGGACGTTGTAGAACTCGAGAGCCATTGTCAACGAGCGGTCCAAGCCAGCGAGTCTCGCGAACTGGGGATTGCCATGTGCACATACATCCATCCATCCATCCATCCATCCATCCATCCATCCATCCATACATACATACATACATACACACATACATACATACATCCATCCATCCATCCATCCATCCATCCATGCATACCTACCTACCTACCTACATACATACCTACATACTGTGCCGTGATGAAAGATTGCCCCATTTTGACGGGTCGGAAGAAGTGCATCCTTCGTCCGCAATGCGAGCACATGTCTGTGCCGCGATGACAGATTGCCCCATTTTAACGGGTCGGCAGAAGTGCATCCTGCGTCCGCAATGCGAGCGCACGTCTGTGCCGTGATGACAGGTTGCCCCATTTGGACGGGTCGGCAAAAGTGCATCCTGCGTCCGCAATGTGAGCGCACGTCGCTAGTCGCCCCGCTAGGGACGTGGAGCCTTATTAAGCCAAACGGGATGGCGGTTCGAAAACGGCAAACCGCGTGGGACATCCTCACAAAATTGGCTCTCAAGACGGTTCGAACTCGGTTCGAAACAATAGAATGCGGTTCGAAACAAAAGCAGAATGAGCGTTTCGCGTGGGGCTTCCCTCAAAATACGGCGTTGGACCCAGTTCGAAACAAAGGATGGCGGTTCGAAAACGGCAAACCGCGCGGGACATCCTCACAAAAGCTGCTGTCCTGATGGTTCGAACTCGGTTCGAAAGAAGGGGATGGCGGTTCGAAGACGGCAAACCGCGTGGGACATCCTCACACACATTCTTGTTCTCACGGTCGGTTCGAAAGAAGGGGATGGCGGTTCGAAAACGGCAAACCGCGTGGGACACCCTCACAAAAATGGTTGTTCTGACGGTTCCACGTCGGTTCGAAACAATAGCATCGATTTCCAAACGGTTGGAAAACGAGCGGTTCGCTTGAGACTTCCTTCAAAATACGTTTGAAGCCCAACGGCCGCGTCGACGACGACGACGACGACGACGACGACGACAATGACGACGACGACGACGACGACGGCGGCTACGACGTTTACATGCGCTCTCGCCCGAATGCCGGCCACTCCTTAGTTCTCGCCTCACCGCCGGCCAGTGTCTCGGTCTGGCCGACCGCTCTCTGGGGTGGCGCCCGGAGAGGCCCCCGGTGCGGCGCTGGCCCCCTTCCGGAGGGGGGGACGTGCCGGGGGGAGACACCCGCCCCCCCCCTTCAAGGGGGGGACCCCTTGGGGGGAGATACTGCTGTCACCCCCAAACAGGCACATTTTTGAAAAGGACCCGCCCGTTTGGGCTGCTTCTGCTTGGGCCGGCTGATCTACACCATTTCCTATTGGAAAACCAATATGTTTTCCACTCGTTTTCCGGGTTCCGGCCTTTTCTGCAAAATCTTTTTTTTTCCAAACAATCCTGTGGTGTTGGGTCCTCGTTTTGAAGAGACGGTGCCCCGCGTCTCTCCTCCTCTCCTCCTCCTCCTCCCCCTCCTCCTCCTCCTCCTCCTCCTCCCATCATCAGCATCATCATCATCGTCATCGTCACCGTCATCATCAGCATCATCATCATCATCGTTCTTATCACCATCGTCGTCATCATCATCGCCGTCTCCATCATGGCCACACGTTTCGTGGACCCATAGTGAGCTCCACCGAAGGCCCCAGTGGCAAGGTCCGCATGCGGTTCCACCTCCATTTCGGCGCACCCCTCACACGTTCCGTGGCCCCATAGGGAGCTCCACCGAAGGCCCAAGTGTCAGGGTCCGCATGCGGTTCCACCTCCATTTCGGCGCACCCCTCACACGTTTCGTGGCCCCATAGGGAGCTCCACCGAAGGCCCAAGTGTCAGGGCCCGCATGCGGTTCCACCTCGTTTTCGTGTTCCACCGAAGGCCCAAGTGTCAGGGTCCGCATGCGGTTCCACCTCCATTTCGGCGCACCCCTCACACGTTTCGTGGCCCCATAGGGAGCTCCACCGAAGGCCCAAGTGTCAGGGTCCGCATGCGGTTCCACCTCCATTTCGGCGCACCCCTCACACGTTTCGTGGCCCCATAGGGAGCTCCACCGAAGGCCCAAGTGTCAGGGTCCGCATGCGGTTCCACCTCCATTTCGGCGCACCCCTCACACGTTTCGTGGCCCCATAGGGAGCTCCACCGAAGGCCCAAGTGTCAGGGTCCGCATGCGGTTCCACCTCCATTTCGGCGCACCCCTCACACGTTTCGTGGCCCCATAGGGAGCTCCACCGAAGGCCCAAGTGTCAGGGTCCGCATGCGGTTCCACCTCCATTTCGGCGCACCCCTCACACGCTTCGTGGCCCCATAGGGAGCTCCACCTGAGGCCCCAGTGGCAGGGTCCGCATGCAGTTCCACCTCCATTTCGGCGCACCCCTCACACGTTTCGTGGCCCCATAGGGAGCTCCGCCTAAGGCCTAAGTGGCAGGGTCCGCATGCAGTTCCACTTCCATTTCGGCGCACCCCTCACACGTTTCGTGGCGTCATAGGGAGCCCCGCCTAAGGCCCAAGTGGCACGGTCCGCATGCAGTTCCACCTCCATTTCGGCACACCCCTCACACGTTTCGTGGCCCCATAGAGAGCTCCGCCTAAGGCCCAAGTGGCAGGGTCCGCATGCAGTTCCACCTCCATTTCGGCGCACCCCTCACACGTTTCGCGGCCCCATAGGGAGCTCCACCGAGGGCGCCAATGGCAGGGTCCGCATGCAGTTCCACCTCCATTTCGGCGCACCCCTCACACGTTTCGCGGCCCCACAGGGTGCTCCACCGAAGGCCCCAGTGGCAGGGTCCGCATGCAGTTCCACCTCCATTTGGCGCACCTCTCACACGCTTCGTGGCCCCATCGGGTGTTCCACCAACGACGATACTTACAACGGCGGCATTCGGAATTGCGTATGGTTGGGCCTTTCGCCAGGATAATTGTTTTCCGACCCCACCCCGGAGGCCGAATCCAACAGGGAAAGCACGACTCATCCGCCCGTTTGGGCTGCTTCTGCTTGGGCCGCCTGATGCACCCCATTTCCTATTGGAAAACCCGTATGTTAGGAAGAGGGAGGATGAGGAAGAGGGAGGAGGACAGGAGGAGGAAGGAGGGAGGAGGGGAAGGGAGTGGGAGGAGGAGGAAGAGGAGGGAAATGATGAGGACGAGGAGGACGAGGAGTAGGACAGGCGCCGAAGGTTTCGGTGGGGATCGTTCGAAGTATGATATTGCCTGGGCCAAATCGTTTTTTAGGGTTTCACCCCAGCTCCGAAGGCCCAATCCAACAGTCAAAACACGACCTTCTAGCAGTAAATGCGAGCGTGATCGCAACAGTCTCGATTGCTATCGCAAGTCCAATGCAAATTCGTCCAGGTCGTCCTCGCTGCAACTTTCGGGGCAAGTTGGGGGGAGGAGGGGTGGAAGGATGAGGGAGGAGCTTGCATCGATCAACTTTCAGGCTTTATTGATATTGTTGTGCTCTGCGTACTTGAGCTGCTTGTCAGCAGTGGTGTTCACTGGCAATGTGGCGTTCACAGGCGGCCGGGTGCTCACACTCACAGTGGTGTTTAGGCGTTGCTGGACTCGGGTAGTGTTGATCCGGCTCCGAGGCCAAATCGAGCAGTCAAGACATGGCCTTCGAGCTGTAAATGCGCGCGTGGTCGCAACAGTCTCGGCTCCTATCGCAAATCCAATACAAAATTATCCAGTTTGTCCTCGCTGCAACATGTAGGACATGTTGGAGGGAGGACGGGTGGAAGGATGAGGGTGGAGCTTGCATCGATGAACTTTCAAGGCTTATCGATGTTGCTGCGCTCTGCGTGCCTGGTGTTCACTAGCAAGAGCTCAGAGTCACAGTGGTGCTGAGGCGTTGTTGGACTCAGGCAGTATTGATCCAGCTCAGGCCGAATCCAAGAGGTAAACAACTGTCTTGGAAGAAATGCGCGTGCGGTCGCAGCAGTCTCGATTCCCAGCGCAAATCAAATACAAACTCGTCCAGTGTGTCTCCGCTGCAACTTCAAGTTGGAGGGAGGAGTGGTGGAAGGATAAGGGTGGATCTTGGCGATGTTGTGCCCACAGGCATCTGGGTGCTCACTGTCACTGCGGTGCTCAGGCGCTGCTGCGCCCAAGTAGCACTGATTGTATTTCGGTGCAACCAGCTCCACATCACAACGACACCGATCGAAGCACCCCCTCATGCCACAACAGCGTGTGGATGCATCGTAGCCATTACTTCGGCGATGCTAAAAAAGGGCAGAACTTTAATCACGCCCATGTATCTACCTACATACATACATACATACAAACATACATACATACATATATACATACGGTAGCCCCCCCCCACATGATCATACATATTTCTTTTTTTGCTACTCCTCTTCCTCGCGCGCCCTGGGGGGGGAGGGCCTGGGGCTTCCTGGGGCTTCCTGAGGCCTCCTGGCCTTCCCGAGTCTTCCGAAACGCTTCCTGGGGCTTCCCGAAGCCTCCTGGGGCTGCCGAAACACTGCCCTGGTGAACAACGCTGTGTTTTCCTGATATTCCTGACACTCCCAGGGATTACCCCTGAGAAAACGGTGTGTTTTCTTGATATTCCTGATATTCCTGACATTTCCGGAGACTACCCAGGCGCCGAAGCCTCCTGGGGCTGCCGAAACATTGCCCTGGTGAAAAACGCTGTGTTTTCCTGATATTC